GTGACATGGCCGTCTGATACCTGCCAAGTGCCCGCTCTGCTCTAGGAACTGCTTCAGGCGGCACAGCCCTCACCCGCACACACGCACTCACACACACACACCTAGACAGGCATGCACACATCTGCACGTGCATACATGCATGCCCACACAAATGCACACGTGTGCACACACCCCTACATACACGCACACTCACACACGCATGCACATGCTCACGTATACACACCTGCACATGCGTGCACACACCCCTACACACATGCACACTCACAAACACATGCACACACACCTGCACGTACACATGCACATGCTCACATATATTCACCTGCAATGTGCACACATGCTCGCCCACACACTTACTACACACGTATGCACACATGCTCACACACACACATGCATGCCCACCCACTCATGCATGCACACATAGAGTTTAACTGACTCCCCCTCCCTGGCCCCTCTGATTAGCTCCACAGGAAGCCAGGGTTTGAAGTTCAGAGACAGGTTGAGCAGCTATTGCCACCCCCCACCTGCAGGTGAGCCCTCCCCAGGGACCACGAACAGTCCCGCAGGCAGCTGCCCCTCCAGAAACAGGCCCCCTCGGGCTCCCAAGGATGCGGGACGTCCAGGCCTGGGCTTTCCCTCTCCTGTCCACGCAGGAGGTGAGCGGCCTCCACATCGGGCCAGGCCTCAGCTTCCTCCTCAAAAAGCAGCACCGAGCCCTAGCCAGTGTGGCTCAGCAGACAGAGCGCCGGCCTGTGGCCTGAATGGTCCCAGGTTCAATTCCAGTCAAGGGCATGTGCCCGGGTTGCAGGCTTGATCCCCAGTGGGGGGCGTGCAGGAGGCAGCCGATTCATGCTTCTCTCTCATCATGGATGTTTCTATCTCTCTCTCCCTCTCCCTCCCTCTCTGAAATCAATAGAAATATATTTTAAGCAAAGTATGGTCATCAAACATTTCACGAGGAGGAGGAGGAGGAGGAGGAGGAGGAGCACCACCGAGAAGGGAAAACCCTTCTCTCCAGGCCCAGCGCCAGGAAGGAAACTTACTTCCAGTTTCAGCTGCTTCTTGGAGCCCGGGCAGGACTCGCTCAGCTTCTCCATCCTCTTCTCATCTCCACTGGCCAGCCCATCGGTCTTCTCGGGGGGCAGGGCCACTGTGGGGGAGGCAAGGGCGGACGCGTGAGGCTTCATGCTGGGGCCCCTCCCCGCCCCCTGCCCACCTGCTGGAGCCAAAGCTGCTTTGCCCTCCAGGGCTGTCCAGCTGCTCCAGGGCCCTTCCAGGGCACAGCCATGCTCTGCCCACGGGGACACGCTGCTATCATGACCTGCAACATCCTTTATTCACCTCCCCCCCTCCACACACGCGCGCGCACACACACACACACACACACACACACACACGCCGCTCCAGAGGGCGGGGTGGGGGCTGCAGAGAAGAAAAAGGAAAGGAAGAAAGAGAGACAGAGCCCGGCTCCATCTTCAAAGCCGCTGCCTCCTGCGCGGAGGTCCTGGCTGGAGATGTAAGCCGGCCAGGCTTATCGGAACCAAACTTCAAGTTCAAAGGGAAGTTATCAGAAAACCACCTTCAGGTTCAATGTTGCCTTTCAAGTTCCACTTGATAAAACCCAAAGAAAAGAAACCTCTGTCCCTCTCTCTCCTCTGGAGCCCCCTCCTCCCCTCCGAGCAGAAACAGCCTGTCCTCCATCAGGTCCTCCCCTGCCTCTGCTCCTTCCCCTCTCCCGGGAGGGCGGCGTCCCTCCCCCCCGCCCCCGCTGCGCGTCTTCTCTGCAGATCAGGGTGGCCTGGCTTGTCCTCCCTTCACCAGCAGGGCCTCACCCCATCCTGGCTCAGAAAACCACCAGACACCCCTTCCCAGCAGGGGCCGGGCACACAAGGGTAGGAGAACTGGGAGCCACCCTGCCCTGGGGCCCTCGGGGCCAGAAACAAGGGCAGTCAGCGCCCCCTGGCCCCACCAAAGATGGCCTTTCACCCTCTCACTGCCCCCTACCCAATGGCTAGAGGAGGAGGTGTCACAGAACCCACCGATCAAAGCCTTGCAGACCCCAAGGCCAGGGCGGGACTGAGGGGTCATGCTTCTACTTCCACATGGACCCTCTGGAACCAAACGAGGCCAAACCAGCACCCGCCCCCAGCCATCTCCGTGCAGAACAAATCGCCCTCCACCCACCTACCCATCTATCCATCCATCCATCCATCCTTCATCTATATCTAGCCATCCATCATCCTTCCATCCATCCATCCATCCATCCACCATCCATCCATCCACCTTCCATCTACCATCCATCCATCCATCCACCATCCATCCATCCATCCATTCACCCACCCCCTACATCCATCCATCCACCCACCATCCATCATCCATTCTTCATCTATATCTAGCCATCCACACACTCATCCACCATCCATCCACCATCCATGCATCCGCCATCCATCACTGGGCTCACGGGCGGCCTGGAGAAGGGAGAATGGTGCCTACCACACGCTGCCAGGGTCCAACCTCAGTGAACAAAACTAGCATGGAGATAGGCTTTGGCACCAGGTTCTGAGCCCATTCTCTGTCTCTTGCTCCTTCTTGTGCAGCTCAGGGACATGTTTTCCCAGAGATGATCTCTTGGGGGGCATCATTTCAGGGGGAGTCTGATCACACTTCAATTGCAAGGCACAGCCGCAACAGGAGATACTGCTCATGTGAAAGAGGAGGAAGTAGGAGGGGAAGGAAGGAAAGGGACAGAGCAGGAGAAAAGCAAAGCCTGTCTGGCCTCTGGATTCCCCCGGGTGACGGAGCGCAGGACTGGCAAACCACGCCCCCATGAGCCAAAACCTGCCGCCTCCTCTTGGCATAAGTAAAGTTTTATTGGGACACAGTCGCTCGGACACACACTGTGTATGGCTGCTTCCCTCCACAATGGCAGAGTCCAGTAGTTGCCACAGAGACAGTCGGGTCCACGGAGCCAAAAATGCATCTCTCCCGGCCCTTTACAGAGAAGTCTGCGGCCCGCGCTGCAGGCCAACGCAGCCTTCACCCGCACCGGGTACCCGGATCCACCTGCTGCTCACCTGCTCCGCTGGGAACCCTGGTGCACGCACCTCCTGCCCAGCCGTGCACGCAGCCATGGACAGAAATGTCCGCGCCGCCTCCTTCAAACCCGCCCTCGGCTCAGAGGAGTCTGGTGCAGTGGGTGAGGCTCCTTTTCTCTTTCTAAATATTTTAAATATGTTTTTATTGACTTCAGAGAGGAAGGGAGAGGGGGAGAGAGAGAAACATCTATGAGAGAGAAGCATCACTGATCGGCTGCCTCCTGCACGCCCCCTACTGGGGATGGAGCCCGCAACCCGGGCCTGTGCCCTGACCGGGAATCGAACCGTGACCTCCTGGTTCCTAGGTCGGCGCTCACCCACTGAGCCACGCCGCCCTTTTCTTCTGAACCGGCCCCCTGTCCCTCCTCATTCGGTCCCTTCTCACTCCCCGGCCGCCAGGACTGGAGCGGAGCTGGCCGCCGTGTTTACCTTACCGGATGATGCTTCCCCACACTCCCTCCTGCAGCCTGGCATCCTCCACCCCCAGCAGCTGCCAGATTAAATGCGTTACTTGACCATCCTCACCCGCTCCCTTTGATGTTCCCTTCTCAGGCTTCAGAATACCTTTTGGAGGGAGATCAGACAGCATTAAACAGAATTACTAATTAATTAAGCAAAGTTAAATTTTAAACACTGTTTGTTGTGTTAGCCAAAAGCCTGAACAGAGCAGACTTTTTTCCTCCACGGAGATCAAAGACAGCCTCTTCCCTCTCCCCTCCCCCCGTTTAAAAAAGGGAGGGGCGGGGGAGGCAGCGAGAGAGGAGTGCTGGGGACGCTGGGGACAGAGAGGACGGTGGCTACTCTGACCCGGGTTTAAACACCCATCCAGCACCCCACCCGTGGGCCCCAGGAAAGGAGGCCCGGGCTCATTGGGGACGGCGGGCTGGGGGAGCCACGGCCACTTTCCGGGGACTGTTTACCCTGGCAAACAGCGGCGGCCGGGGAGCAGGATGGTGCGGGATGGCACGGCCGACCCAGCACCAGGTGCTGACAGCTGGCGCCACCCAATAGCATGGGAAGAGGGAGGGCTGTGAAGTGAAAGAGACCGGCCGCACCCCACCCTCCTCAGCAGGATGAGCACCTCTGGGCTCTTCCTCCCTCGCCTCTCGCGGGGGCAGAGTTTTCTGGGGGCATCGGGAGCCTGGCTGTGCCAAGCAGGCCATGCACGGTACCGCTCCAGGAGCGCATGCCCGTGCTGGGCGGCGTACATCTGTGGGTGGCGTAGGACATTTTTGGAACAGATGGCGAAGGTGTCGTGAGGAGGGTGAGGAGGGGCCCCTGCTCCTGATTTGCACAAACGCTATTTGTCCCTGGCAGGATGCTGTCCAAACGCATCCTGTCTAGCCGGGCTGGCGTGGCTCATTGGGTGAGCATCGACCTAGGAACCAGGAGGTCACAGTTGGATTCCCGGTCAGGGCACATGCCTGGGTTGCAGGCTCCATCCCCAGTGTGGGATGTGCAGGAGGCAGTCGATCCATGATTCTCTCTCATCATTGATGTTTCTCTCTCCCTCTCCCTTCCTCTGTGAAATCAATAAAAAAATATATATACTAGAATATATATTTAAATCTAGACCCTGAATGGTACAGCAAAGGCCAGCTTACTGTAACAATCCAGAAAGGCCTGGTTGACATTAAACTTTGCAAGAAGACGCAAATGAGAACACAGGGTAGTGACTACATCAGCCCCAGCGAAGACCAGAAACGCCCGGGACACTGCGAGGCGTGGCGGGCACCTCTCCGGGCCCAGCTGCCTGGCGTGCGCTCAGCACGATGTCAGATTTAACACAGGCACGGCCCCCTCGCTGGACTCCGCACCCTCGCCCGAGCGCACCCACCGCCCCTTCTTAATGGTCCTCGCACAGATTATCGGCCACAAATATTTCCATCTCGGGGTGGATTGCCGGGATGTTTCTGACTCCCCGGCCCCCCCGACAGCAGCTGTTGGAGGGGAGGCAGATGAGCTTTAATATTAGCCGATGCCAAATATAATTAGGCGGCTAATCTGCTGCCTGTAAAAAGAGAAAGGGATCGTGTGTGCATTCCGGGCCAAATGGTTTCTTGCATTCTGGGCAGGAAGCTCTCCCCGGGGAGCGAGGGTCCCCGAGACGCAGGGATCTGCCCGGCCGAGGGCTGTACCCGGGACCCGGTGAAGTGAGTGGGAACACACACTATTCCCCCGCTCCCCTCACTAACGCCACGCAGGGTGTGTCGCTGCTCACGTTTGACAAAGGGAGAGACTGAGCTTAAAGAGCAAACTCGAGCCCGGCCGGTGCGGATCAGTGGTTGAGCGCCGACCTATGACCCAGGAGGTCAGATTCCCGGTCGGGGCACCTGCCCTAGTTGCAGGCTCCATCCCCAGTGGGGGGGCGAGCAGGAGGCAGCCGATCCACAATTCTCCCTCATCGTGGATGTTTCTCTCTCCCTCTCCCTTCCTCTCTCTCTGAAATCAATACAAACATCATTTAAAAGCAACTTGGCCAAGCCATTTCCCTTCTAAAAAGAAACTGCCACTCAGCGCATCCCTCCCTGGAACTGCTCTGCATCTCCTGCCCCTGCCCCGCCCTCACACTGTGACCCCTACCCCGAACACTCTCTGTCTCTCCGATTCCTGCTCATCCTTCGGGTCCTCGGCTTGGGCCTCCCCACGCCTCCATGCCCCCCGGAACGAGGTTAGGGCTCCTGCGCAGGGAGCCCGAATTACACCGTGGTAGCCGTTACTCCGCCAACTGGCCCCTCCTTCAGCGGTGGGTGCCCCGATGTATAGCACAGAGCCGGTGGCACTAGCCAGCGCCCGTCATCATCACCAACAGGAAACCAGAGCAGCAGGCCAGCGGGGCCCAGTGACTGAGCACCAACCCATGACCCAGGAGGCTGCGGGTTCGAGTCCCGGGTTGCGGGTTTGATCCCCAGTAGGGGGGCGCGCAGAAGGCAGCCGATCAATGATTCTCCCGTCACTGATGTTGCTGTATCTCTCTCCCTCGCCCTTCCTCTCTGAAATCAATAAAAATATAAATGTAAAAGGAAAAAGCGGGGGAGAAACCCTCCCAACCAAAGCTCTCTGGCCTTTTCCTCTCCTTGCAGGATCAGGTGCATGGCCTCTGGCCGCAACATTCAAATTGGAGTGAGAAGGGACATCTGTTCAGGGAGGGAGGGGGCCACGCCGGGGAATTTTACGCCGGGGCAGGGACAGAGGGGGGGGGGAGCCTTCTTTGGGCTAAAAATATCATGTCTCTTTCCCCCTCCCCCACCCCCACCCAAGTGGGGGGCGCGCAGAAGGCAGCCGATCAATGATTCTCCCGTCACTGATGTTGCTGTATCTCTCTCCCTCGCCCTTCCTCTCTGAAATCAATAAAAATATAAATTTAAAAGGAAAAAGCGGGGGAGAAACCCTCCCAACCAAAGCTCTCTGGCCTTTTCCTCTCCTTGCAGGATCAGGTGCATGGCCTCTGGCCGCAACATTCAAATTGGAGTGAGAAGGGACATCTGTTCAGGGAGGGAGGGGGCCACGCCGGGGCAGGGACAGAGGGGGGGGGGAGCCTTCTTTGGGCTAAAAATATCATGTCTCTTTCCCCCTCCCCCACCCCCACCCAAGTGGGAACCGGTGATGAAATTCAGCATTTCAAACCGGACCCCGAGCCACCTGAAACTAGGGACGCCTCCCGGGATGTGAGGGCGGCAGTCTCCGTGGTGCAGGCGGGGCTGCAGGAAGAGGGGACCTGAGGGGAGCTGCCGTGGGGCCGAACCCGGGCCTCCAGGGCTTGCGGGGTGCAGGGGGCGATGGCTCTGAGCTGAGGGAGAGGAGCCAGCGCCCGGCCCACCTGCCCCCTCCGTCGGGGGACAGTGGGGGTCCCTGCTGCTCTCCAGTGAGCACCTCCCTGCCTCAGACTCCAGGGCCCCCACCCGCCTCAGGTGCTCAGTCGGTACCGGAATGAGGACTCCGTGGCCGGAGCTCTGTCCTCGGTCGGCTGTGTGACCCTGACAGGTTCCACCCTCTCCATCCGCAGCTCTCCAGCTCCACGTGAGGGGACCCGAGGCCTGCCCAGGGCTGTGCAGCGTGATGGATGGCTGAGCCCTCCCCACCCCGGGCGTCTGGGTGGACTGGCCCGGGGCCGGAGGGGGACATACACCCGGCCTGGTGGCAGAAGGAGAGGGTCACCTGACTGGGAGAGGCTTTGAAAAGAGGCTTTGCTTGAACCGGACAAGGAAATGACCAAACCGCCATGGGTCCGTCGTCAAGAAAGGTGGACCTGAGCTGGCCGGTGGGCTCAGTGGTTAGAGCATCAGCCCCCTGCACCCCACTCCAGCCGCGTGCCGCCCCTGCCACACCCCACCAGCTGGGGCTTGGGTTCGATGTGGACTTTGTTCTCCCCACAGTTCAAAAGGAACTCCAGAGCCTGGCCCTGTGCACCCGTCCGGGCCTTAATCTCCCACCCCATGTGCGTGCTCCCAGCTGGCCGGTTAAGGCGGCTAAGACGCTGGATTAGGGCCGGCTTTACATAACAACGCGGGAGCGAAAGCCAGCCTCTCCCGGGATGGCTAAAGGCTTCTTTTCATCTTCCTGCCTCAGATGGCCTTTTCTTCCTCCCGTGCGCAGCCCCCCAGCCCGCCAAGAGGCAGTGAACTTGGCCAACAGGAAGACAAAGGAGAGATTCAGGGTTCCGTGAGCTCTCCCTGGCTGGCGCGCAGAGGGACACCCACAGCCTCCCACCCTTTGTTAATTGGAACATTTCTTAAAAATATAGACTAAAGTTGTTATACTTAAATGTTGTGGATGTGTGCTGGCTCCCAGTGCCCTGCCCTGGGGTGGGCACCAGAGAGCCACAGCCCGCACAGGGCCCAGCCTCCCTCGGGCAGCAGCCAGAGCAGCCACTCTCCCGGCTTTACTTACTTCTGTGTCCGTCTTTCACCCTTCGTTTCCCAAGGAACCTGGTGGCATTCTCGTAAGTTAACGCGTGGGTCACAGCTAACGCTACGGTCCCCTGCACCGCCCTCTCCCACGTGAGGCTCCTCCTCCCGCGCCCGGGAGCGGCTGCTCTGGTCTGTCTAGGCCTCTAGCCACACAGCAGCACACACATGAGCATCCACACGTGTGCACAGGGAAGTACAGAGCGGTGCCGGCGGCCTTGCTCCGTTAAGGTTAACGTGCGTTCTCTACGTGACGGGTGTCTGCGCCTGCTCTCGCCGCTTTACCGCCCGGGCTCCGGTGTGAGCCTTCGTTCGAAGGAAGGGGCCGAACAACCTGACCACCGACAACCCCGACCGACCCCTCCCCTAGGTCCTATTTCTTTCCTCAACGCGGTGCTTCCCCTTGAGGAAAGGAGGCGTGACAGTGGAGAGGCGGGAGGAGAGGGGGGAGGCAGGAGGGGAGGGGGTGTGCTCCAGGTGAGTGGACGGAGAACGGGGAATGGAACAGCTCCGGGAGGGGGCGCTGCAAGCCT